GAGAGAGAGAGAGAGAGAGAGAGAATCAAGTTCACAATGAAAGTTCAACATTATATAGTTAGAACCATTCTTACCGTCAAATCAAATTTAGCCACTGCAAGATGATTGGCAGCTACCAATTGTTTCAACTTTAAGCTCTCTGCTCTCTTCAATGAACCTTTCAATAGGACAAATAATTGTTGCTGGACAGACAGTGAAGTGCCTACACTGATCATGGGAGAATATGATGATCCAAGCATTCCAGTTGTACTTGAGATTCCAATTTCCGATAACAAGTTGCAGATAGCAGCCAAAGTGTATGCAAGACAAGAATCATTGCTTTGCTGCACTAAATTAAAACTATCATGCCTCATAGCAAAAAGTAATTGAAACATATGGCAGATAATGTCACTAAGAAATATGGGATGGGATAATCGTAATCCTGATCATGCCAGGAGAAAGAGAGAGAGAGAGAGAGGAAAAAACACAAGTAATGGCAATGATTTGAAGCCATTTATTGCAATGTCTTTTGCAGATGCATATCTTCAAGATTATTAAACCAGGATTTCCCCAACCTTATTCTAATAATCATGGCCTAACAAGGATATCTTCTGCCTTTATGCTAATAAGAATATCTCAAAATTAAGCTTCTTGAGTTCTGCATTTTTTTCCAGCAACTCATGAAATTACAGAGCACAGCATTATAGAACAGATTACAAACCTGGTAAGTTTTCCTAGTCACACTATAACTCCCAGAATGTATTGAGCTTGTAGAAATCTAATTTTATAAAAAATTTGAAGTCTAATTAGTCCTAAACCTTGAGCCTGTATCACAAAAGAGGCTGAAAAGCCAAGATCTACCACAGCATCCAATTCAATAATTAATTTATTTAGAGCTGATCAAAAAATAAAATTAATTTATTTAGTACATTAAACCAACTTGTGAATCTCCATTACCAGATGCCTAACCAGCAAGACAGTAAACTAATAATGAGAATATCCACAAACCATAACCATGCATTTGTTGCACCATTTAGCTTCAAAAAGTAGGGCCTATCTGAGTCTGAGTGAAGTGGACACCATCTTGGAAGCATTCTTGGACCAATGGGATAAGAGGAAATTGAAGAACAAGGCTTAACTACAGATTGCATTCAAATTAGAAGTTGAAATATGATGGCAGATTTGAACCAGAGCTGCAGGAGGTTTGGCGACATATGGGATTTGAATCCAACATGAATGGATTAGAAGTGTTGCTAATGCAATTTTAAGTTGTTTCCTACTCCATCTCAAATTATTTGTCACTATAACTAACTTGCCTGTAATTTTGGGTAATACTTTTATATAGCATATAAATGGTAATTGAAAATATTTTTGATCGAATTAAACTACTAAAAAAGAACTACATATTGAAACAAAAAATTTCAATTGTCATTCATATGGTATATAAAAGCATCACCTAAAGTTACATGCAAGTTAGTTATAGTTATAGATAATTTGGGACGAAGGGAGTATTTAATTAGGACTTTGTTTTCTTATTTAATTTTCCTATTTTCAATAGGTTTCATTATTTCTCTGTAAAGGATTGTAGGCTAAAATCCACTCTGAGCTTTGTTATCAATTACTCAGATTTATTCAGAAAATTTTCTCAAGTTTTCTACAATTTGATATTATGATTATCTTCATTAGGTGAAGATGTGGTGTAGGCTTGTTATCCTACTTTTTGCACTATGTCACTAAGTTTATAGTTAGTTAAACAAGTCAGTTTACTCGGGACATATAAAAGCTCCAAAAGAGTCTTTGAACATGTAACCTTGTTCTTACTTGCATTAAGAGAATGAGAAAAATAATACTCTATGAAGAATGATCATAACTTGCAGAAGAATGAAGAAGAAAAGGGAAAAGGGATCACCTGTTGTGACACACGAACTGCCTCAGTGAAAACCTGCATTTCATAAAATAAAAATGATAATAAAATAATAATAATAATAACTAAAACAGCAGACATGTGGAAGGTATGGTAGTAGACTTGCACCCTTAACTTGACTGACTTTTGGTACTGAACCAATGCAAGACAAGATTCGCTTGGTTCATCTCAATGCATGGAAACCCTAGCAAGTTCAGCTCCATACTAATCACTACCTCATCTCAAACCCAAAAAGATTAACCAACAAGTTCAATGGACCAAGATTTAGATTCTCTGGCTAGCCCATACTGAAAGACCCATAATGATATCATTCAATATCATAATATATTCAAGTAACAAATGGAAATGAACAAAAGACATCGTTTTAAGTTCGGGCTTAAGTCTTTGATTGAACTCAGCCCAGCCCCAGCTTGATAAAATTGTCCAGAAAAATCATGGGACAAAGGGGCTGGGGTTGGACAACTGCAGCCTGATTGACAAGCCTGTCCATTCTAGAATTCCCACTTATAATTTCCAATTAAAATTTAGAATACAAAATGCCAAGTACTTAGCACAGAGGAAGTCTTGTTTACATGTTTACCTCCAATGCCTGCTTAGGATGCCCAAAGTGAAAATGCATCATTCCCAAGCACAACAAGGCAATCTCATATCTTCCAAAACTATTGGTACCAGGTGTAGGAGAAAGAAAATCAAATCCCTCAGTTCCTGCACTATTAGGCCAATATTTACCAGATCAGTTCATTTCTGAGGATTAACACTAGAAGAGTTTCAGAAGTGAAGAATAAAAGAATATAAGATTAATATGGAAATTTAAAAAATAAACCAGATATAAAAGGTCTCACTGAATCTAGCAACATATCAATAACCAAAATGAATCACCTCATATTATTGGAGGCACAAGTAGCCTAAGTTTTGTTCAAACATGTAAGAAAACTATAGCCCATCTTAACAGAACACTCTCCTCTAGAAGAACTAACCCTTTCCTGGAAATAATAAGAGAATATAAAACAGGTGTCAATCCTTCCAATATTTTTTAGATACTCTGGAAACTCTTTAGAATACCACAAATCACTTTCACATTGGCTTGTAAAACATTAAAGTCAAAATCCCACGTAACCCAGTCAATTTCTTCAGATTCTAAACAAATGGAACCCTTAAGCCTGATTCCACATTCATTTCACTCTAATAAGAACATGGATTTTGTTATCATCCTGACATATATAGGACAGAGATGCTTGGGTTAAATAAGTAAGAAAAACTGACAGTGTGTTGTCTTTGATAAAAACTTAATAGTGAAAATGAATTGCAAGAAGGTGAATTGTCTTTCTATAGTAACATCAATGGAGGCAATAAATTTCAATCAGCATGCTCAGAATAGCTTCAAGGACCTGATTCTATAGCCTAGACCATTGACACCATTTTCAAGAGGGTGTAGCATCCAAATGAATAAAGCCACTCTGATCAATTGAACACACACTCACACTTGTCATCCAAATCTCTTACCACTGCATGGATAAAGACCCAAATCAAGCAACTAGAATTAAGAATTTCACTGAAAGTTGTGTTCTCCATTTACCTATAATCAAAATAACAGTGAAGATTCTCCAAAGCAGCAAAATAGTCATCGTGATAAAGGCTATTCAAGTAACGCAAAAAGTGAACCTGCACATACCAGAGCAAAAATAAACAGTTTAAAAAATCAGTAATACTATTTTCAGTTCCAACTCAGAGAGGGGCAAAGGAGTGGGAACTTCCAAAAGCAAGTCAACCTACACGGTCTAGTTCAGGGGCCAACTTTTGAAGCTGCCTTAGAATAAGCTCAAAAGCACTTGAGGAGAAAGAACTACCATGCCTACACAAGACTTGACATTGAGTTAAATGCATATAGTATTTTGAAAGTATACAAGCAAAAAAAGATCAATAAATGTAAAGAAGTTGCTATATCACATACTTTTCAATGGCCTCGGCTCGCTCCATGAAGTAGCCTTGCATCTGCCAGTTTGAACGAAGGAATACTCCCCCGCGAGGATCAACATTTCTTAGTGCATTGCTTGATGAAGGTGTATACAGAGAATGTTCTCCAACTTTGTTGCTATGCTCAAGTTTTGGGTTAGTAGAAGCCTCAATATCTGCACCTTGACATTCCAAAAATAATGTTTTTTTAAAGAAGAATAATTCATATTGCTTTAATGGATACAGTGGTATCATTTAGATGGTGCACTGCCTGACAAAGAGGGGAAATTTTAGAAACGTCTGAAGCATTGACAGAGTGGTTTGAAAAAAAAAGCTCTAACATGAGTGTTATAGTACAAAAACCAAACAACTAAAGTTGCTTACTTACTAAAACCGTAAGATGTGATTCCTGTGTACAGATAGCACAGAAAGCCTAACAGAAGAAAGGACTGCAGGTAATTGGATATGCTGAGGAGATCCAAAGTGAAAGCATATCATTAAAAGAAGAAAGTCAAGAAACTACCATAACAGGGAAAATTTCTTCCAAATTGATGTCGTGCTCTAAGAAAAGATCCTTACATTCCATTTCCAGACAATTACTAATGAAAAGAAAAAGTTGCAGACAATGAAAGTGTGAGATCTAGGCATATTTCACGCTGAATGTGAGATTTAGGGCAAAGCTACATAGATATTATGGGCCTCAGCTATATGCTGCTATTGATCTAGGGATCTAGCACACCAAAATTTACGAAATATGAGAAAAACCTCCATATAAGCTCTAGCATCAATGAAAATGTAAATTCTGAGGACTCTCTTAAAGTAGTTCCCTGTTATACTTAGCATTAGCATGCTTTGCAACTTGCAAGGGTTGATTACCTTCAACCAAAGTGGAAAGTGCCTTTGGTAAGTAAAGGTGAAAAGAAACTCCTTTGCTTGTTATTCCTGCTTCTATCTCTTCAGTTATTTTTTCAGAAATATAATTCTCAAGGTCCATGTTTTCATACTCTGATAATACCTCCACCTCATTACTAGGATCATCCAGGTGCTGCAACTCATAAGTTGGACAAGTTGAGAAGCATTCATTGCAATAGATACCAATATTTGTCAAAAGATGGCATACACCCTGTATTAACAACAAGAGTCAGCAAAACTAAATTAGTCAATATTGGAAAGAGTAAAGTAAACGACACATTCAACCTTGTGCTAAAGTATCAAAAACATCAAAGCGTGGGTAGAAACAAGGAGAAAGGAGAAAAATTAGGTGGGACAGAATAGCTATGAGGAATCTCCTAGGTTAGGCCCAAGGCGACAAGCCACCTGAGGAAGACATCACAACACATACCCAATGGACATTAGACTGAATTCTTGGAATTTGGATAGAGGCTCCTTGGCGAAAGGGAAAAAAGAAAGAAACTTTGGTAATCAAGGCTAATTACATGCATTTCTCCTTATTGAAGTCATACCAAGGATTCTTGCAACTTCTATTTGCCACATCAGGAAGCCTTTAAGGCTAATGATCAAGATAATTGCACAACTTGTTACCACTAAGTTACTTACTGGAGTCCTAAAACAGAACCAATACCACGCAATTAAAGATAGCGCAGTGTGGATACAATCAAAAATTGGTAAAACAGAGATTAGATTAACTCTTGGAAAGAGGCTCCTTAGCAAAAAACATAAAAAAATGTTCCATAAATGTTATTGTTAATTACATGCTTCTTATTCAACCTCATACTAAGGATTCTTGCAACTTCAATTGCCACACTAGGAGACCTTCAAAGTTCATTTCATTGTCAAGATAATTGCAAAACCAGTTACTATTCCCTACTTTATGCACTGGAGTCATACAATTGAACCAACACTAAGAAAATAAAAGAATAAAGCATTATATTTTAGATATAATCAACAGGTGGAAAACTCCTAGAGATTTATTAGCCTCAAACTAAAGCAATATATTTACTGAACAAGTATGGGAAAAAACTTTGAAACAGCAAACAAAACACTGTCATGTTAAGAAAAGATGCAGATCATGACAGAACTAGTGTAGTCTTTCTTACGCAATATTTTTATTTGCAGATTTCTACTATTAAACTATACTATATTAGAATTCAAAGACTCAATTCTTTACATTAACATTATTATAGGACTTTGATGCATGGTCTTGCAATCAGTCCCTAACAGTCCCAGGAGTTAGTTCCCAATAGACATCCAGAAGGCCTTTTTTTGTTCTCTTTTTTCTTCATGGTCCAGAAGGGTTCAGTAACTCTTTTTTTTTATTATTATTAAGAAGTTTAAAATTCTTATCATTCATTCTTTTCTGGATTCTAAGAGTCAGTCAATCTTAAAGAAAGCTAGGCATATTAGGTGTAGATTGTTAGAGAACCCTAGGTGTGATTACCTAAGGCTTTCAAATTGTCAGCATTTTGAGCCTTTATCAAGCAACAATAGCCTCATTAAACCTAAGGTTAATTGCTAAAACCTGAACCTTTGAGATTCAATCATCATACTAGCATGGTTTTGAATTTCTGAAGTTCTTCAAAATATAAGAAAAGTGTTTTACTTAATATGGAAGAGTAAACATCAGTGAATCCTAGCAGGACAACTTCTCTTAAGCCTTTGGTAGAAAACTTAAAGACAAACCAAATTTTGTTTTCAACTTATAGCATGACCATGGCAAAGAAAAATGATGATTTGAACAAAAAGACATGAATGAACACATAGAGACATGCATAGACTACAAGACATAAAACTTTTGAACAAGAAGAGTGTACCTCAAAGGATAACAGGTTGAAAGCAAGTATACAACGACGAAGAAACAACCCAAGGTTGCTGTTTGGATCCAAAATAATCTGGTCGTCCTCAACAACTCCTGAATCAAGGCCCCCAAGAATTCCTGCAGAAAGTTTGATAAATTAATTAATTTCAAGAAAAAGAACAACTAAAAGCCAAAGCCTGTGCTAATAGAGAAAAACACCATAGTGAATCGAACTAAAAGAGAAAATTGACAACACAAGGGCAACTAGTAAACTAGTAACTGACCACGCATCTCACTGAAGAAGTTGAACAAATCATCAGGTGATTGTAGAGCCGACAGTCTATTAGTCAAATGATTAGTTAACCACTGATCCATTAGACCGCCAATCTCCCTCAATTGATTAAGAAGTTCAGCTAGTTTCGGCTCAAAAATATCATCGCATGACTGCAAAATGAACACATAAATCTCTCAAGATAACACTATATTCCACATAAAATGTAACAAGAGACATCCAAAAAAAAAAAAAATCCCAAAAATTGAAGAAACTCGCAACCGAAAAGAGTAATGTGTTTACCAAATTTCATGCATAAAGCCTCCGAAATTTGTCAAAAATGTAAAATTAAACCTGGAAAATGAACAGTACCTTGGTGAGAGCAAGCAAGTACAGGCCGAGGCGGTTGTGCTGAGTAACGGAGGAAAATGGAAAAGGAACAGAGATTTGAGCAGGAGGAGCATAGATCTGTATCAGAATGCAGGTGGAGACTTTGTGTGGTGTCACGGCGAAAGCACTGGGTGCCCTCAAAATCCCTGCCATGTTCCTCTTTCTGTTCCTTTGTGCCGTTACCCCCTATTTAAGTGACTTGCTTTACAGAAAGAGAAAAAGCAAAGAAGAGGTAACGCCAGTAACGAGAGAGTGAAATCGGATGGTCTAGTTGACTGGCTCACCAGTAACTGTTTAGGTGAGAGAGAGGGGGGCAGTGCGCGAGAACCAGAGGAGGCGGTGGTTGGAGGGGAAGGAGGGAAAGATCACCTGGGGTGCTTATTTAGCTTAATTTAAAAAGTGGTTCGGTAACTCTGGTGGAGCTATTGTTTTTATCCATCTATTTTATCCAGAGACTCTTCTCGCAATTCAATCTACGAACATTCAGAATTGGGAACAAATTAGGGAAAATTGGGTAATGCCACCAAAAAGGGGCAAAAAAAAAAAAAAGGTTAAACTCTCTTTTTGGTCCCTCAACTATTATATAGACCATTGATTAAGTCCCTTAACTCAAAAATCTTTGATTTGATCCCTACTATGTACTATTTTAGCCCCAACTTGGTATTTCTATTAAAAATTTTTATGACATGTCTTGTTAATTCAAGGCAACATAATGACAACATAATGACAGGTCAAAATATTAAGTCCATGTGAAAAGAGGAATTCAGCACACCTAGGTTCGATGAAACCCAGCAACGCCTATTAGGTTCCATCGAACCTAGGCATGTTGAGTTCAAAAGAACCTAAGACCTCAAGGGGAAAGAGACAAGGAAAAAGAAGGAAAAAAAAAAGTTTTTTTGTTATATTAATATTTTTTTATCATATTTTTTTTCCATGTCATTATTTTTTTGTCATTTTGTCTTCCCACATGTATTAATATTTTGACATGTTATCATGTTGACGTAAATTAACAGGACACATCATGAGATTTTTAACAAAAGAACCAAGTTGGGGATAAAATGATAAATAGTAAAGACCAAATAAGAGATTTTTTGAGTTTAGGGACTCAACTGAAGGTCTATGCAATAGTTAAGGAACCAAAAAAAAGGAGTTTAACCCAAAAAAGGCTTAAAAGTATTTTTAATTTTTAAACTTCTAATTATAAATATTTTTAGTTTCTATTATCTTTTTGTATCTTTTTCATTTCTAAACCACAAACAATATATTTTTTTCACTCCATCAATTTAATAAGTTAAGTTTGTTCATATTATATAGTTGGACTAAAATTATACACATATGAATAGATTTAATGGGTTAAACTAACAAAGGGATTAAAAAAATACATTTTTTACAGTTTAAAGACAAAAAAAAATACAAAAAAAAAAGTTTAGAGGCTAAAAGCAATTATAATTAAAAATTTAAGAACTAAAAGTGACATTTAACCAAAAAATTAATTATTTTGAATAAATTGCTCCTTTCTTCCTACAAACAAACTTACCTTTTATTTTCTCTTTCATTTTACCTTATGCAAAAGTTAAATATAAGAATTGTGAGTCCTCCCTCCATCCCATCTCTCTTATCACTTAATTTTCTTTTTTTCTCTCACTTTATTTGACAATTTATATTTATTGTTTTAACCTTTCAAAGGTATTAAACAAGGCTTTCTTATCATGTTTACTGTTTGGGAGGGTATTATAGTCTTTTTATCCTAATGCTCTTTGTCCCAAACATCCATCTTCCGATGTAAAATCTCCTTTTTAGCCTTTTAAATTCCCTTTTGTATTTGGGATTGGTTAGGGGTAAAATTGTTATTTAATTTAAGGTCTTTTAGGTAATTTAAATTTATAAAGAAAATTCTCTAGTTTAAATGCCAAGTTACTTTTTTACCTTCACCTTTTGTTTCTCATATGACTACTTGCCTTGTTGCTCTTTCCAGGAGACAATTTATTTATCAAAATGTTAGACTTGCAATTTCCTTTCTCATACTAGATCGATAAAGGAAAACCTTAATCTTATTGAGGTTCCCATCCTATTCTCATGTTTGTGAGAATATCAATACTAGGTGAGAAGACATTATTCACAAAAGGCAAAAAATGTAGAATGAACCTATTCAACCTTTCTTTTCTTTACCTCACCTATCAATCTCTTAGGGTTTTTTCTTCCCATCAGATGAGTTTAGCACATTCATATCATAGAACCAAAAGTAAAAGATAAAAGAGTGGGATGCTAAAAGAGAGACTTAGAGGGTGATCAAAAAGGTAAAAATTTGATCTTTTTTCCTTTTTCTTTTTTCTCATATGATTCCTTCATTTTTGTCTCACTTATATAATAAAGAAGGCTAAAGGTGGAGTCACCATCAACCAAAACTATGGTTGCGTAGTTCACCATCTGTTCGGAAAAGATTCAAGTTTAGGGTATGCACGGATAAGAACATGTGCACACCTTAGCAACTCCTTGCAAAAGACGGCTACATACTTTAACATGGGGGATTGAATTTGATTCAAGCCTCGAGATTTTACATATATAAGGATATCACTTTGTAAAATTTTTCTAATTAAGGATATTACTTTTTTATTGAACTAATCAAGGTTATTACCTTGAAAAAAATTTCTAAGCAAGAATATGACATTTTCAATTTTACTATTTAAGGATTAATTGGATGTCAATACTGACTTGGCAAACGGATTCCGTTTGTGGGACACATTAAATTGCTAATGTGTCAAAAAATTGACAGTGGCTGCTCTAACTTGGAGCTAATTTGGATAACAAGCATAAGTGTCAACAGTGAAAAGGTTGGTGTTAGCACCCAACCCGTGTTGGAGAATCCACTTTCCTTTTATTCATTTTAAAAAATATATATATATAAAATTAAAAAAAAATCATAAACATGGTAATGAAAATATGGATTAGTTAAACATAATAAGGTACATTATATATATTTATTAAAATTAATTTATTATTTGGATATATTATATGAAAATATTTTAAATAAAAAATTTATTTAATGCATCCTACTAAATTTTTAACAACTATATTAGCAAAAATAATAATTTTAAAAAGTCATCATGACTTGTCTACATTTCAAAATTTTGACTTTCTTGTGTAAAGCCTTTTGTTGCCTATGAAGAAAGTTGTCCATGTAGAGAGTTAGATGATTTACTTGGAAGATTATGATTATTCTTCTTTTGTCTCTTTTGTTTAGGTTTTCCAAAATCTTTACATGACAAAAAGTACAAAATTAATTGAATATGATATTACATATTTACATGCTTTTAAATATTATAATAATATCAATAAAAAAAAACTCACCTTTTTGCTATTATTTTTTGCACTTTCACTTCCTTGAAAGTTCGAGAATGCATCTTTCACATTAAAAACAATTCTTGGATGTGAGGGAGTATCATTTGATTTCTTTTTCCTCACGTTTGTAGGATTCTATCATTAAAAATTAAGAAAAAAAAACAATATCATTTCATGTGTTCTTTCAGGTAGAAAAAAAAATTATAGACACATGGTAAAATAATTCTAACCATCAGCGTTTGTTTCTTGAAGTTAGGATCATTTTTATGAGAGCATCCTCTCTTGTTATGGCCATGCAAACCACACACTGAGCAAGTCATTTTGATACCTTTTTTGGAAAGGCTTTCAACATCACCATTTCTAACTTTTTTGTCTCATGCGCTGGTTTCATCCTTTTCACTTTTGGTCTTCCTCTGTTCTTCCTAAATGGTGGTGGCTCAAGCGTCACCCCCTTATATAGCCTCGATGTCTCAGGCCCATTGATGTAATCAACACAATACTAGTATGCTTTAAGATATGTATTTCTTTTATACCAATGTACTACACCATCTTCATAATTAATTTTGCAAGCATACATTGTACATATGGCATGACAACATGGTACACCAGTACTTTACCACTTCCCACAACTATAGTCCCTCTTACTCATGTTTACAACATACCTCCAATCAACCTTGGAAACCTCATACTCATCAGTCCCATTTCCTTTTGCAATCTAAGTAGTTGCTTCATTAACATTTTCTTTCAAAATAGTTCTAATTCTAGGTGCAATGTCACCATCCCATGATGACATAGAAACTCTTTTTGTTTTCAATCTATCCATCACCATGTGTCTAATAACTTCTAACATAGAAATAATGGACTTGCATCTAGCTTCTAGAATCCATGCATTAAAAACCTCAAACAAGTTGTTATCAACAATGTCACACTTACAGTCATCATCAAAGAATGCCCGCACCCAATAGGTACTTCGCAATTCAAAAATGTCATCAAAAGTAGCTAGACAGTTCTCAGCAAGTTGTTGCATGTTCTTTTCATATTGCTCAATATAGCTTGATTTGCAATGGCCTAGAACATCTTTTTTGCTTCTTCCCCTTTATGATCTTTTGACCAATTGCTATAAATATCTCATACAATATCTGTGTTTTGCAGTAGGAAGATATGACTTCACAGAAGAAATAATAGCCTATAATTATTAAAGTTAATTAGTGCCGTAAACTATTAAAAGTTAAAAACATAAAAAATGATAAAAATATATAGATATATATTACCTTGTGTTGGTCAGACATTATAACTATGTTTTCACCTAGTCCAAGTGTCAAATCTAATTTCAATAGCTTTGGAAACCAACCCCATGTCTCATTTGATTCACCATCTACAACTGCCCATGCAATAAGCTACATTTGGTTATTGCCATCAATACCAGTTGCAGTTAGCAACACTCCTTTGCACATCCCCTTTAAAAAACAAGCATCAATTCCAATAATTTTTCTACAACCATCCACCCACCCTTTTTTACATGGAGCCAAGCATATATAAATGCTTTTGAAAATAGGATTAGGAGTATTTATGTATTGGCCATAGCAAATGATAATATTATTTTCTGGATTTTTTCTCATCAAAACATCTCTATAACCCATCAAACAAGCATACCCTTCCTTGTAATTCCCTTCCAACTCATTAAGAACAATTCCTTTTGCCCTTTTCATCATGCTAGTATGTACAATAAGATTCAGCTCATCAAAGCATGCTTTCTTCAAGTCCTTTAACTTTATTAATGGATTTGAGTCAATTTTTTGTTTCAAATACCTAGCAAGCCAAGGTGCATTAGCCATCAGATTTTCCCTTTCCTTTATGCAGTTATGAACTCTTGTGTAGGCAACGACTTTAAAGCAACTGTCCCTATTACACATTGCTATAGCAATATACCACCTGCAAAATGGGCCTGTACATTGCAACCTTTGGCAAGTTGGAGAGTTCTTTAATCATTCTAGTACAAAACCCTTCAAAATAGAATATGTTCTAATGGCATCCTTGAACTTCTCACAGTTAGTGAACTCCATACCAAGATCAAAGATAGGAATCTCATTCAGATTTCCTTTTTCATAAACTAACCAAGGAGTTTTCCTCTTGATTGCATCTTCTTTGACTAAGATCTCATTTTCTGAGTTGTCAGAGTCACACTGCCCAAGATCATCACTGTCAAAGTAATCTGAGTCAATGTTCCCATCAGTTGGTATTGTGTTCACATGCCCTGGATCAACATTGATGGGTATCACAACATGGAGATTGAAATCAACTATCTGCTTCCTCTTTGTTTTTGTCCTCTTTTTGCCCTGATTTCCTGGACCTTTTTGTCTTAGTATATATTCAGTCTTAAGTGGATCAGATGGTACAAGAACTGGCTCATTTGTTAAAGAAATAAGCTCCATAAGAACTTGTAAATTATGTTGAGACTTGGTTACTGCTCCTATTAACTGTGGACATCAGCATTGCTATGTATACTGATATCAAATAATAAAACATCTTCCTCATTATCTGACTCAGTATCAATTGTTCATCATCACTACTCTACAAAATGTACTGTTCTGAAGTTGAAGCATTATCAAAATGCTCAACAAACACATTAACAAGCCCATGCCTAGAGAGTTCTTGAGCCATCTTGACCACATCAGTATCACTGCTCAATGGAATTAAAGCTTCTGAATTGGTTTGGTTTGGAATCAAGTAACACATACTCTTAATACTAATACTGCACTTTTCAGTTACTTCATCAACCATGTCCATGTAATTGAGCTTATTAGGATCTTGTTTGTTATTTTCAATCCTCTCACCACCAACATATTCAACCACAGGATACCGCACTAAAGTACCTCCATAATGTGTAATCAATGTAGTTAATTCTCCAATACTGCAACAATAACAAAAATTAAATAAAACATTCTGTTTAACCCAACACTAACCACACATGGCATGTCCCCCCACCACACAAACAACAGTAAACAAAATTCCTCCTTGCACCTATAAATTACAAAATATAATAACTTTTTAAAAAATTATGCCTACCACTTTGAGATTTTGTGTTAAGTTGGGAAAAAATATATTATAATGCATAACCAAATATTTTGGAAAGATATAGAGATTTAATCTATGATTAACACACTATAAACCATGGATAAAAATTGTGCCTGCAATAATGGACAAAAACTCCTATTAAAACTTGTGATTCAAGTTTATGATAGGGTATAATAGCAAACAAAAAGTAGAGAGATTTTGAGATGAATTATAAGGGTTAAGTAGCTATTGTACTCAAACTAATACTATTATTGTTATTTACAAAAAATAATAAGAATAAAATAAATAATTTTACCTCGACATTATGAAAATAACAAATAAAAAGATCTCCAGTGATGAGTTGTTCTTCAAAGTTATGTAGTTCTCTCAATCTATCATGAAGAATAGAATAAGAGTTTGGATCTCTTTATAATTTTTTAATATTTAGATTGGTGTGAAAATATTATTATTTTAACTGTCAAAAACTATTTTAGAAGGATTCTATACGCTACTTCAATCTTTTTAGGATTTGCTTATTAATTTAGTTTAATCTAATTTTAATTAATTTTTCCCAACGTCCGAAGGAATTCCCGACACGGGTCTGGTGCCAACACTGAATGTTTTGGTGTCACCACTATTTACTAAGAATTCTAACATGAATCTTTATTGTTCAAATCAGCTTCAAGTTAGGGCAACCACCTGTCAATTTTTTGACACATCAGCAATTTAGTGGGTCTCACAAATGGAATATGTTTGCCAAGTCAACATTGACATCCAATTAATCCTTAAATAGTAAAATTGAAAATGTGATATCCTTACTTAAAAAATTTTTAAAGGTAATAATCTTAATTAGTTTAATAAAAAGGTAATAACCTTAATTAAAAAAATTTTAGAAAGTGATGTCCTTATATGTGTAAAATCTCTTCAAACCTCAAACAATGTCACTTATGTACAACAAGTACCTAAAAGCAATTCAATTGAGCAAACAAATTACATTAACACCTTCTTTAAATCATCTCTAATATTATTCCTTTCATACATCAAAGTAATGTTTGTAGGCTTTTGTTTTAAGTTTCTTTTAATCCTTTGCTAGTTCAACTTTTCTTTGTGATATTATCATGTCTAATATTGTTCTTTCATTCAATCTAAACAATCTATCCAAACTTGTAACCCAATCATTTTCAAAATTAAAAATAGCTCACAATGGATCAAAATCTTCATCCTATCTCAAATCCATTTTTTAAGTTGCTTGAGGTAAAATAAAACCCATCTACCGATCACCTAACACATCTAGAAACTTGTAATGCAAGAACCCTCAAACTAAACAAAATGATGATTGTAATACACAAGGATTTTTTAAGTTTTTAATAATTTATTTAAGTCATTTGAGGGTATATATGTGATAAGATTAAATTTGAAGTTCAATTATAACGAGATAGGGAGCCTAGGGACTAAGTTGTGAGAAACCTTGAGTTAAACCTAAAGATAAAATAAACCTAAATAATGAGGTTGGCAATTTTATTTTTAGAATCAGAATCACCTTCTACAACTCACAAGTCATGGTGTACACCATTTAAAAGATATTGGCCATTCTGAAGTCAATTGGAGGTGATTTGTCTCTTTACATCTTAATTTTGATAATTAAAAGGATGATATAAGAAGAAATTGAAGAGTTTCTCTCTTTATTTATTTATCAAGTCTTCCTCCATCTCATAACTCCTCATTAATAGAGAAGAAAAGGCACTAGAAGAAGGTTGTTGTTCTCAAGCATAGCTATAAGTAATTTTATTTTCATGGTTGGTAAAATATTTAAGAATTGGGAATTAAGTAAATGGGTAATTGCATGGTTGACAAGATCAATTGTATTTTATCAAGTAAACTTTTAGAAGTTGATGTTTAATTGGGAATCTAGGTGGAGTGGTGTGAGAATTTTTCAAGTGAAATTTTATTGAGTCTTTAGTTTCCAGAAGGTGTGTTAGAGTGGTTGGATTAATGGAAGGGTTTATAGTTATGTTTATTTAATGATGGAGCCTGGCCAAATTAGATAGTTCATTATAAAGAAGGAAATTTGGAATTATGAGATCTAAATTACATGTAATCATGAACAAGCATAAAGTTGGGAAAATAATTAAAATTTTTAATTTAAACTCTAGGTTATCAAGATATTTTGGTTGGTGGAATTAAAACTAGGTTATGAAGTTTAATGAGTTGTGTGGATTATCATATAGTAGTGTTTTAGTTGAAACCTAACAAATAATATCTATAAATTAAGCAACAGTGACGACATGGGTCTGATTGACAATAGCATGAACATCAATTATACTTATGTTGGTTATTTATGGATATAATTTGATAGGATTTTAAGGTTTTATAGATAAATAAATTTTTGAAGGAATACATGGTATAGCATATGTTATTGATTAACATTACCAACGAAACTATAGTTATGAGAAATTAATGTTTTTGGCCAATAATCCAAGGCATAGTGTTAGCATTTGTCATAATTGGTTTATATTTTTTGTGTGGATAGGGCTTGATTGAACTTAGGTGGTTACATTTGGTACTTAATTTAATCTAGTAAGGTAAGTTGCTGTGTTTTATAGTGTTTTAAAAATAAAGTTATTTTATTTAAGTGAGTTTTGAAAATTTTATTTTAATTCTTTTTCATATATAATTTTATTAAGATGTTTTTTTTTATCATGTAATGAGATGAATTCTGGACTAAGCATGTTAATTTATTTAAAGTTTTGAGATGAGATTGTAACAATGTGAAAAGTGACTATTTTGAAGTTATTACGTATCATTATTTTTGAAATAATTTTATTTGAAATGAGTTTTGTTTTGTCCTAAATGTATAGTTAACCCTTGCAAGGGTTAAGTTGATAGTATTGTAATAGATGTGGGATTTATGAATTGTGTATCATAGATTGAGGGTTATGTATTGCGAAATGTGGATTGTGGATTGTTATATAATCATAAAGGGCAAAAAATGAAATATATTTGTTTTGAGAAAAGAAATGTGATTTTATCATTTATTTTAAAATGATGTTAAGTTGAAGAAATTTCATGTTTGGTTGAGCAGTTGTGCTAGACAGGTATAATACTTGAGTTCTTTAACTAATATTTTCCAAATTTCATCTCATTTCAAGTGATGAAGTTTGAGTATTGAGATTTGCATGGGGATTAAAAGATTGTTAGAATAAATTGTTAGAATAAATTGGTAGCAATTTAGTTTGCAGCTGGATTTGAAGATTATCTAATTTTACGGAACATGATTGTTAATTACCTTATATTATTAGTTAATAAAGTTGGAACCTATTACTACCTATTACTTAGAGACTATTGGCATTTGTTATTGAGATTGTTTATTTAACCGTGCAATTTAAGTTAAAACTTTTATGGAAAATTGTAATGATTTGTAGGTTAGATAACTTTACATATTTATAAGGTCATCCCTATAAATGTGTGATATTTGTTATGTCTTAACCTCTAGGTTGGAGCGTAATAATTATTCTTAGCTAGTTGTGTTTAAGCACAAACTCAATGTTACTTACCATATTTGCGTATTATCCTTCATGATGCAACATTTATGTTATATCATGCACCACATATATAGTAATTTTGCATTTTGTTATGGGAAAGGGAAGAGAAAAGGAAAAGAAGTTTGGATGGAGAGAAAAGCTTTCCTCTTTCTAATGGCTTCTATTGAGAGTGAAGGTGGGGCTTACCTGTGTTGATGGCATTATAATGGTTCTTGCTTTAATAATGTTTGTTCTTCTTTGATTTGTTTTGTTAAATTTTTACAATTTCAAATATTTACATGTAAAATAATAAAACAAAAAATACTCACATTTTGAGAAACGATGGTGTTCATTTTTTATTGTAACAAAGTAAATATATATCTAAAGAACTCAATGGCAATTCACATTACAATTCCAATATATCTGCTCTTTACCTTTGTGTAAGTTGTTTTTTTGTAACAATGCTTGACTATTTTGTTTTAATTTTCTTCAATGGATATCTATATGTATTTTTAAGCAAACTTTTGCAATGTTTATACAATTCATTGTACTTTATTTGATAAAAGGCTTGTTTAAGGTATTCTTTAGGTGTTTGTTATAACCCGATTTTTCATTCAGTATTAATCACAAAATTAGTCAAAAAACAAAAAAACAAAACAAAAAAACAAAAAAGGCACAAAAATATAAAAATATGAAATTTTCTCTTTTCTTTGACTAATATATTTTTATTTTGTTTCAGGGGTTATGTGTAAAACGCAATTCAAGAAGAAACGGGAAAAGGAAATCAAGACGAGGGACTCGATTGAAGAAATCAAAACGTGGAGGGGTGAAGTTCATCAACATAAATTTACAAACCCAAACCCAAAACCCATCAAACCCAAACCAAAATTACCCAAAAACACAAACCCAAAACCCATCAAAAACCCAAGCCCACCATTACCCAAAACCCAAGCTCTTTTACTTAAAAAAAGAAATAAGTAAAAAAAAAAAAAAAACGAAAGAAAAAGGGTGAAAGACAGAAACCCTTCTGCAACCAGATCCCCTCACCCCCGACAGTGCCCCGCGCCTCGCGCCCAGGCCCCTGCCCTGCGCCCCTGCATCCTTGCCCCAGATCCCCTGCTTGCTGCGCCTGCATGCTTCTGCTCCTGCACTCTGCGCCCAGCGCCTGCACTTTCCCCTTTTGCCCCCCTGCGCCCCTGTTGCTCCGAACCTGCACCCCGATCACACCCAGATTCCATTGCTCTGCGCCCCCCTGCTACGTTGACCCTGCTGCTGTGCATGAGACAAACCTGCAGGATGACATCACGCCCAGCTTGCTTGGCTATTCTGCCGGGCCAGTTTTGGCCTCACCCGAGCAACGGTAAAAACAAAAAAAAAAAAAGAAAAAGAAAAAATTGAGGGGTTTGGATGAGGAGAGAAGGGGAAGGTAGGGTTTTGTTTGAGGGGGTATAAATAGGAAGGACCGGAAAAGAGAAGGGGGGTTCTCTTGGTTGTTCTTTTTGGTCTGAGTTTGGGATTGCCGGAGGTGATAGCAAGAGAAAGGGGATCACCGGAGGAGATTGTGCATTTCCTTGGTTTTTTTGTTGTCTTAGGTAAACTTTCTGATCAGAGGAAGTTTTGGGGAGGGTGGTGAAGGAAAGGTTGGAGCTTGATCCCGTGGGTGGGATGCCTCCCTCCGATCCTGATCTGTTTTCTCCCAAGACTTTCGCCATGGTTGTTTCAATTTCTTTGTGTTGATGTACTGCATTTGTATTTGAGGTTGATATCGCGAATGAAATCAAGCATTTTCTTTTTTTAATTTCATGGATCTGAAATCAATTGGATGTATCTTTGTTTTTTCTTTGTTTGTTTTTGGTTGAACAGCTGAATAGTAACCTTAAGTTCCATTTCGTTTCTTTCCAGATTCCCTTTCTGTTCTACATTTGATCCTTTTTTTTGGGCACATTGATTAAATGTGTTGTTTGCTGGCAATAAGATGTAATTGATGATGAACTTTAAATTTCTCTTTATGTCTTTTGGATTTTAGTTTTGTTGAAGATTTGATTTGTTTTTGTGTTTATCTGTTTCAAAGGT